CAAAGCTGCGATAAACATGGGTATACATATATCTACTTGGATGTCATTTATGGTCTCTTTAGGGTTTATTCCCAGTAGTGGAATTGCTGGGTCAAATGGTATCTTTATTTGCAATTTTTTGAGAAAGCGCCACAATGCTTTCCACAGTGGTTGCACCATTTTACACTCCCACCAACAGTGAATACCCCTTTTATTTCTTGTGAGAGAAAAGATTTTACAGGCCACACCCTCAGGAAACTGTCCTTCTTGCTTTGATTAGGGCTGTTATGGGATTTAGGATGGTGCATTCCACCCCTAATGCTGTTTCCACACTTGGTTTAGCATACTATGAGGGATCTTCACAAAGCTTCCACATACATGTACTTTTGAGGGAGATACAATTCAGTCTGTGACACTTAGTCAATTGTGTGTTTTCTCTATCTACAGAAAAGCAAATTTTCTGAAGTCACACTGACTTTCTTGGCTGTCAATTATTTCCCTTGTCTAGGTCCAAAAAAAGAGTGGGTGGAGTGTTGAATGAAGAACAGGATAGAACTCCCAGAAATATTCAAAAGTATACTTTTCATAAGAAAATGTGCACTTTGGATATATTAATATTTATAACTTTCTTCAATGCCATCTGTTTTCTGAGTTTTATATTTTGACAATATCCAAGTTAAAAAAATTGGGTTTTTAAAAAGCATTGTGATTCTGATATATTTAAAAAGGTTACCAATTGGTTTAAACGTATAAAGAGAAAAGAGATACACTTCTATTTCTTAATTTGTTTAAATTCTCTATTCTGCAGGTTTTAAAAATACCACCATGTTATATTTATTATATACAATTTTCTAGAACTCTATGGTAAATATTACTAATTTGGAGGTTCTTAAGGATTGGTAAATGAGCTTCAGTATTAATTGAGGCCATTAACCCAATTAATAAAATCAAGAAAAATTAAAAAAAAATCATGCATTCTATCACACATCAAAACTGGAAACCAGTCATTAAAAGTTTATTCAAAATGAAAACACAGAAGAACACTGCAGTATGTACTAAAATGTCCATCAAGTACTCATGCTTTTCCTGTGTTGTAATATAGCTCAGTGACTTTGTACAAAGAGCTGATTTAGTTGAACATTAACATGAAGAAAAAAAATCCAACAACCCAGATATATTCAATGGAATATTCAAAATATACAAACAATTCCTTGAACTCTCATTATAAGCCTGTGCTTTACTGACATTATATTCACAAATGTTTTGTGACTTAGACATCATTATCTTTCTCATTTTATAAAAGAGGACATGGAGGTCTGTACATATGGTGACAGCTCACCTGCATTTGGAAGAACAGGTTCAAGTGTTTATTGGCAGAATGAAGAACAGTAAGAAGAGAGTAAGGTTTCAGGAAGTACACTAGACCTCTTTTTCATCTCAGACAAAAATCTTTTAAGCATTTATACATATCTTGCTGAGTTATCCTATTTTCACAATAGTGGTCTTATGCAGTATTTGTTCTTATGTGACTCAGTTATTTCACTCAGCATAATGCACTCTACATTTGTATAAATGTTCAAAAGGAAAGAGGAAAGGGAGAAGGGAGGCAGAAAAGGGGGAAGGGGAGAAATTACGAGGATAACTGAGGTTAGTGGATGGTGGGAGGATGAAGGAATAGGAAAGATTCCATGAGGACTTAACGAAATATAAAACACATGAGGACATAATGAATGACTGTATGTAAACCAATTTAAAAAATCCTTTTAACACTAATCCTGACAAATGATTAAACAGCCATATACCTAGCTCTGGTGGCCTACTGGCAAGAACCTGTGCTGCAATCCCAAAGGTACATGGTTTGAGGCCACCAGCTGCCCCATGAGAGAAAGATGGGGCAATCTCCTCCCATGTGATTACTGCCTCTGAAGACCCGTTGGAGGGTCAGCTATGGGTCAGTTCTGACTCGACGGTACACAACAACAATAACAATATATGCATTTTAAGTTCCTAACAAAAATGAACTTGACTTATATGCACAATAATATATCTTCTTGGGTAAGTTAGTAATAAATGATATTGGAATTTAAAAGTAAATAAAAATAGTTTTCAAAGGTCAGGTTAACACCTCCAATTCCACCTGTTCCATATTCTGGAGATATTTAGAATTATTAGAAATGACTAAAAAGAAGTAATAATCACCTTTTGGTAATGCTCCGAAAAACCTCTAGAGGCCTCCCCACTTTGCTTGCCATACTACTGTGTTGTTATTGTATGTTATTATATTTAGGAACTGACAATTCGCCATGTACCATACCAGAATAGGCTCCTATTTAATTCTAAAATAGTCTGAAAATACCAAAGTTAATCTTTAGATATCTATCCAGTTGACAGAGGTAGAGTATGAAAGACAAAAAACAAACTTACCAAAGTCTGCAAATGCTGACTGTCCAACCACCTTCAAATTTTGAGGCTGTTTAAGTATACTAGTGACAGAGAAATTTCCATCCTGTTAAACACAGAAAATTCTGCATTAAACCATGAACATTCACTCATTTGCCAGGTATGTACAATGTATTCTGAGTCAGAGAAAGAAATAACTTAAGGGTTTGGTATTGTTTAGTCTGCTTTTATCCTCTAATAAAAAGAACTGTTGTGGGGTGATGAAGATGGTTCTTTGGGTTGTTTTTGTCATCATCAGTTTTGATATAATAGTCATCATAATTTCAGATCTAATGAATGTCTTCTACTTTCAAGTATTGTGGGAGGCTTTGGGAATGGAAAGAAGAATGAAATATAGGTGAACTCAGAAGTTATTTGGGAAATAGCATTAAATCCAGAATCAGAATTTCTAAAGGCAACATATAAGTCAAACAAGTAAGAAAAGTATGATGTTATTTCTAGCCTTGAACTTAAGATTATACGCTTCAAAATTGTTATATATTTGTTTAAATTTTTCCCTCTTTTAACAACTGGGATCTAGAGGGAAGATTAAAGACCAGAGAATGGCTAAAATTATTGGGGCACCTATTTTTGCCAGTTTAGGGCCTGTGTCAGGAAAAGGAAGTCTTAGTCATGAACAATGCCACCCAATGGTAATAAAGGAGGTCAGAATTGCTTCCACTGTGGAAAGCTGGGCCACTTCAGTAGACAGTGTAACAGATGAGAGCCAAAGATAGACAAGGGAGTAGAGAGCAAACTCCCACTCACTTGCTTTAAGTGTGGATCTGAAGGACACATGGCCAAGGGCGGCCCACATCAGTTCCTCATGGCTGACAGGACTGACAGGCCCCAGCTCCCAGCTGGAAACAAAGGAGGGTGCTTCAACGATTCAGATCCTCCCAGAAGAGCCGTGGGTGAGCATTAACATTACTGGTAAGTATATTCTTTTTCTCCTGGACACAAGGGCCTACTATTTGGTTCTAAAAGCCTTCTGAGGTCCCAACTCTTCTCACTATTTCTTAGTTGTTGGAATTGATGGAAAACCTCATAAGCAGTTCCTTAATTCACCTCTGCCTCACATGTGGACTTCTGAGCTGTGAAACAACCCAGTTGTAGATGGAATTTAGTCCAGGACTTAAGAACAATAAATAACATAGTTGAGCCTCTACATCTTGTGGTTCCTAACCTTTATACTAAAATAGACAAAGTGCTAGTCAATAAGCCTTTTACTTTAAGAACTACCTTCCCTCTGTAACTTGATTTGTGCCACTGTTAGAACCTCTACTTGGAATATTATTGCTTTTAATTTTCAACTCATGTACTTTTAAACTGTTAGTTAAATTTGTGTCTTGTAGGCTGCAACAGTTCCATGATGCATCTTCAAGGATATGAACATGTATGGCTAAGCACAATTGATAACAGTGCATCTAAATTCCAAAATCAATCTCCACAACAGTCTATGCGTTTGCTATTGCCAAATGGTCCCTTTAGAGTAGTGAGAGATCTTGAAACCTACAGCGTCCCTTTTCAGCAGGAAGTAGCTAAGAGAATACACCGTCCCCTTTCCCTTATGAATCAGGATGCAATCTCTCTCAGGGAAGAGTGATAGGGAATGGCAAAGGACACACTGACAAAGGAGATTAATCAGAACTGGTTTTGACAAGCACTGTGGCAATAGGACAATTAAAACAAACTTTCAAGGAATATTAAATCTGAATCCTTCTGATCATATGGAGATTATTGAAAGTATTTCTTTGAGTTTATTATGTTTAACTTGTTCGTGTATAAAGGATGCTCATCTAGATGATAACATAATTATGATAAAAACAAAAGGGGGGAAATATGGGAAGCCAATACTAAATATTTGTAATAAACTGAATGCTATTTAAATAATAAAAGTATGATGTGTCTTAGGAATTTCAAGGAAAGATAGTTCTTTCTTGGGAATAGGTCAATGTTTCAAAATGAAGAAAGATTTGCACTGATATTTTAAAATGTAGGAACAAGGTAACTTTCAAAGAGGAAGGGTATGAAAGAAGGGAGAGACTATTACTAGGACAGTAGAGATCAGTGGGAAGATAGGGGGGTGTGAAGGGATAGGCAAGGTGTGAACAGGGTGATATGTTATAGATCAACAGTAATTAATTATACAAAATACAATGTATAGAAATATCTGCCTAACAGGACATGGCACACGGCCAGTTTTAGGATTATACATTGTGAGAGGTGACAACATTGCAGTTATTGGAGAAATTGATGAAGAAACAGATTCTGCATTTGATCTGGGGAATATTCGAGCAGAACACTAAACTCGGTAGCACATTAAAGAAAATCTATGTACATTTGACATCTGTAAATCTTTGTACAGAAACAGATTATACTGAGGAAGATGTGCAGAATTTTTATGAACAGGTAATTGTGGCTTTTGACTCATTCATTCATTAAAATATGATATGTAAATTAAATTTTTACATTTTACTAAAGTAAAATTTGTTTTTGACCTAAATGATAGGTCTGGTAGCCTGGTAATACTCTCAAATAATGTGAGAATCTAGTGGTTATTTTGGGAAATTTTATAAGAAACCAGTACTTTTTGATGTTTTAATATTTATAGAAAACTCATTGACAAGAGAACTGTGTGGTATACAAATCAGACACACAAATAACATCAAAAGCATAGTGCCTTTCCCTGGTTTTTAAGAAATTCATAGGAAGTAAGTTGGCTGCATTTACTTCCTATGAATTTAGGGTAACCTAACCCTAACTACCAGTGTGTTTGCTTTTAGAGTTGCCACTTAGAGATGTGAATAAAAATGTATTTTATGAGATATCAAATACTTTTCTCCAATACCATAACTTAAAACTGTCAATTCTTTTTCTGTCATCTTTATTCATTGTCCACCTCTCAGATGCATGGCAAATGAGTAAAAAGTCTGTGGCCTGAGTGAGGCACATTTTATTGTTTAAACCAACATCATTGCTCATTTGTACTTTGGAGAAGTCCTTGAGAGACGACTTCCCCAAGGCAGCATGTCTTTTGTTTTCTTGAGTGCTAATACTAAGGCTGTTGATTATGTATCTAAGTAAAGTGAAATAGTTGACAAGTTTAATCTTTTCTCCTCTATCATGATGCTGCTTATTGGCTAAGGTGAAGATTTTTGTCTTCTTGATGTTGACATGAAATTAAAAATGAAGGCTATAAAAAAAAAGTATTTTATTGGGAAAAAAAGGAAAACTATTAGTGAAGTTGTAATGGATGGGGGCAAACCCAAAGATTTGAATATTAATAATGATTAGGAAAGTTAAGATTGGAAAAGTTTGGAAAAATCTTTGGATGCTCAAGAAATAATGGACACAGAAAGATTTTATGATGAGTATATTATTAGGTAAAAAAATGTTATTCTAGTTTTTCAATTTTTAAGAATTGAGGAAGTTTTTGTTATTAAAGGAGTTTTTGCTTATAAATACTTATAAATCTCAGTTTATATTAGGCAGCCTTTGTGACTTTTTAGTCCCATAAACTTGGTTACAAAAGATGTAAAAAAAAAAGTCTGCCTAAAAATTTACATGAATGAAATAAAGGTTACAAATGACTATATAAATAAATGTCACTGAATTTATAAAACACAATGTAAATGAAAGAAACCTAACATATATGAATTATTTGCAAATCAATTTGAAAAAAGGGGGGGGGAACCCCCTGTCAATTGTTTTCAACCCAACTCAACTCAACTCAACACTGTTGCTGTTGAGTGCCATCAAGTCAGAGGTGACCCATAGCTGACCCTCCAGTAGGTTTTCAGAGGCAGTCAATCACATGGAAGGGGAAGGCCATCCTTCTCCCAGAGAGCAACAGCTGGTGGATTCGAACTGCGTGCCTTCAGGATTGCAGTGCAGCTTCTTACCACTAGGCCACCAATTCTCCCTTAGTCTTTAGTCTGAGTTTAGTTTTAGTTTTGAAGAAAAAAAAAATCACAACCACAGTGAAATACCACTTTAATACATCCTTTAAGATGCCTATTAAAAAAAAAGAGGGAAAATATTGTCAATTGTTTTCAATATATGTATCAATAAGTAATAAGTCATGTGGTTTGAATCCACAAGCTGCTCCATGGGAGAAAAACAGGCAGTCTCCTCCCCTGCTATTGCCAGCCTCCAAAAACACGTTGGTGGGTCAGCTATGAGTTGGTTCTGATTCAACAACAACATATATATCAATAAGAAGAGGAGTAAAGGATTTCAACAGTTGTCATGTACCAAAGAAATGAACTAAGTGAAATGAAAGGTCAATCTAGATTCTGTTTCACTGTTTCCAAAATGCAGTATACCTTTAATTTAAGATGAAAATTAATTTCCTCAGTTTACTACAATTTCATAATTTTAGATAATTACACAGAGACAACCAAGTCAAAGCAGTGAATTTGGAATTCTGAGCTCTCAATTTGATATAGACCTTTTTTCTAACAACTCTATTCAGTTTGATACACCGACTCTGAATCTCTGGAACACTGGAAGACTTTAAATGCTTTTTTTTTCTTTCTTTTTTTAAGGTCACTGTAGATTTGCAAGTCAAGTTTTCAAGAAAGCATTTCTGACCTTTATAGAGAAAGGCATTGGTACAGTGAAAGCACAAATACCAAATGTTTGTGAACCATGAATAAGTGGAAAAGATTTGTCTTCTGCCAGGCAATTTTCCAACCATTTGAACACTCCATTCTACACATGCAGAAACATATTTCTCCTGTAATTACTAAAGTACTGGATGGACTTCTCATATGATTTTCCATAGAACACTTTACATATGCATTTTAAACTCTATGACTCCCCTTTAGTCTTACACAGGACCTGAAATTTCCAAGATAGTGAATCAAAGATTACTTCTGGATAAAATGCATTTATTTGTCTAAAATACAAAAACACTTGACTGAAATGCCAAGTGCTTTCTGATTTTGGAAAGCTCACAGGACTGGGTACACAGAGGAAATGATTTTTGAGTGAAAGAGCAAAATTTCTCAAAACTGTTGTTGAGTATCGTTGGGTTGCAAATGACCCATAGTTGACCCTCCAGTGGGTTCTCAGAGGCAGTAAATTGCACAGGAAGGGACTGCCCATTTTCCCCATAGAACAGTTAATAGATTTGAACTGCGAGTCTTTGGACTGGCAGCACAAATCCTTACTAGTAGGCCACCAGAGTCTCCCTAAAGTAACAACAACAACACTGACTCAAGTGAGTTAGGTACACCACAGAAGACCAGTGGAACTTGGTAAGGACTTGTGAAACAGAATTTTTCCTTGAAATAACCTCATGATCCATTAATATCAGGAAACACGGAATACCTATCAGGTAACGACAGCTAAGACTGCACATTCAGTGAGCATCAATAGAATAATACTCTTTGGAGATGAGAGCACATTCTCATCACAGTTATACACTATGAATATAGACAGTATATAATCTGTGTGACAGAACTGGGTACTTTATTTATATGAGTTTAACTTTTCACCAAAATTACTTGTTCTTTACTTGGCAGTACAAATGTATAAAAACTTAGTTTCCATTCATATTAGTCTTACTTTTCAGAATGTTTTTGTTTTTGGGTGCTATCAGTTGAGTTCAAGACTCAGTGGCCTATGGGCAGCAAGTCTGAACTGTGTCCTACCCTGTGCCAACCTTATCGTCTCTGACATCCTTGAGCCCACTGCTGTAGTCACAGTGGTAATCCATCTCTTTGACGGTCATACACTCTTTCGTTGATTCTACCTTTCCAAGCATAATGGCCCTCCCCAAAGAATAGTTGCCCCTAGCAATATAACCACAGTAGGTGAAATGAAGCCTCACCATCTTTGCCTCTAAGGAGCACTACGTATGGCTGTACCATCTCCGAGACGTATCTGATTGTTCTCTTGGCTGTCCGTTGGATATTCAGTACTCTCCTCAAATATCACAGTTCAAAGGTATCAATTCTTCTTCTGTCATCCTTATGCATTGCCCAGTTCTCATATGTATAGCAAGTGACTGAAAGGACCATGGCTTGAATTAGGTACACTTTGGTCTTTAAACTGACATAATTGTTTTGGAGAGGATGGACAGCAGACTTTCTCAGTGTAACATGTCTCCTGATCTCCTGATTGCTGGAACCAAGGGTATTGTGTAGGGTTCCAAGTAAAATGAAATCACTGAAAATTTCAATCCTTTCTCTACCAACCATGATGTTACATATTGGTCAAATGGTGAATTTGTGTCTTCTTGATGCTTAGATGCAATCCATATTAAGGGCTATAGTCCTTGATCTTATGTAGTAAGCACTTTAGGTCTTCCTTGCTTTGAGCATGTGCCATCTAAGTAATGTAGCTTGTTGATGAGTCATCCTCCAATATTGATGCTACATTCTTCTTCTTAAAGTGCAGCTTCTTGAATAATTTGCTCAGCATACAAACTGAGTAAGTATACAGAAAGGATACAGTCTGGACACACAACTTTTTTGTTTACTTTAAACCATGCAGTGCTTCCTTGCTGTTTGGGCTAGGTATAGGTTTCAAATGAGCACAATTGAGTGTTCTGGGATTCCCATTTTTCTTAATTTTAGCTACAGCTTGTTGGGATCCACAGTCAAAATGCCCCTGATTCATCTGACAATCAGCAATGATATCCCTGGTGCTATGGCTTCTTCTAAACCCAGCTTATACTTCTGGCAGTTCTCTTTCAATGTACTGTTCTAACTATTTTTGGATGATCTTCAGCAATATTTTCCTTGCATATGATATTAATGATATTGTTCAAAAACTTTCACATTCTGCTGGATCTCCTTTCTTGGAAATGAACATAAATATGGATTTCTTCTAGGTATATTTACAATTCATTGTAAAAATATGATGCATATACATATTGTTGTTGCTGTTAAATGCCGTCGAGTCATAGGTGAATCATAGCGACCCTATGAATGAAAGACCTGAACACTTGTATAACTTTCTTCTTTTCTCCAAGTTCACAGGGTTTCCAGAGGCAAGCTATTTCAGAAGTGGATGCCACTCCTGCTTCCAAGCTATATACATATTATATAATTATTATTCAGTAAACGGTACCATCATGTTTTTCTTTGTAGCTAACACATTTTAAAATGAATCATGTTTTATTTTCAAAGATGAGCTTCAATGCAACTATTTAGCACAAGGAAGACAAATATGTAATTAATACTTTTGCATGCAAAACATACATAGAGAGAAGAACAGTTTAGTGCAAAGAGCATTACATTTAGTTAGATGGTATGGGTCCAATATTTTCATTAATGAGTTCTAACACTTTTGAGCAAACATGTTCACTGCCAGAAAGGAATAATGTTTCTACCAATTTATATAGTTCTTGGGAGGACACAGTGGAATGACACATATAAGTGTTGGACAAAAGATAAAGTATAATTCACCTATAAAACATTTTTACAAAAAAACCCCCAATAAAACAAACCAAAAAAACATTTTTACAATGGCTGTCCTGTACTTATGAGCTGCAAGGACTATTTTCCTAGGATGCTACTGAGACGCTGTCCACGCCATTATCCATCTCTCTATTTATCATATTATTCTTGTTCTTGTTGTGTACTGTCAAGTTGAAACTGACCCAAGCTGACCCTCTGGTGAGTTTAAAACCCTGCAATCCAAAGCTGGGCCAACTCACTGGGAAGTCTACTGAATCTACATTATTGTTGTGTCCAACTGGTTTCTGAAATCATTGTGAAAAGACTAAAGGATGGATTATTTTTTTAAAAACCTTTTTATTGTGATCTGAGTGAAAGTTTTCCTTATAGAGCATATTGTTATTCCATTCACCCACTCTCTCACATTTTGTTTAAGGACACTGAAAATAATTCCCACATTACAGAATCACTTTTCTCACTATCTCTATGGTTCACTCCATTTATCCTTCTATCCGCCTTAGCCTTCATGCTCTCTGAATTATGTTGAAAGATTTATGAGTTCCTTGTTTTTCAGTGCTCTGTAGTATTCCATTGAGTGGATGTACCATAGTTTTTCTATCCATTCATTTGTTGATGGGCTCTTGGGTTGCTTCATCTCTATGTTATTGTGAATTGTGAATAATGCAGCAATAAACACAGGTATGCATACATCTGTCTGGACAGTGGTTCTGGTTTCTCTAATTTCCAGTACTGGAATTAATTATAGGGTCAAATGGATTTCTACTTCCTATCTTTTGAGAAATTGCCAGACCGCCTTCCATAGTAGTTTCACCATTTTACACTCCAACCAGCAATGACTATGAGTTCCAATCTCTCCACAAACTCACCATCATTTGTTTTCTGCTCTGTTGAACTTTCCTATTGTCGCTAGGGTAATATAGCATAATTATTTTTATTTGCATCTTTCTGATACTTAGAGAGTTTGAACTTCCTAATTTTTTTCATGTGTTTGTTGCCATCTGAATGTCTTCTTTGGTGAAGTGTCTATTCATATCCTGTGTCCATTTTTTGATTGGGCTGTTTACCTTATACATAATATTTGTAAAGGCATATGTATTAAACAAAAATAAATTCCAATCATTTAGATGTCTTTCTTTTTCTTTGCTTCACAAAAAATACCAAATTACTTCATAATTAGCAGCAGTTAGAATATTTCACCTTCACAACCAACATCATATATTCCTTACTTAACCATGCTTTACAAGATGTCTACTAACCTCTCTTACCAAAGGCTTCTGCTTTAGATCTTTTACATCTTCGGCTTACTTGTCACGAACATTTTAAAAGTCTATAAAATGATGACTTAATTTGGACTGAATAGAGGCAACTGAGTGAATGAATGGAAATTAAGTAGAGACTGAAAACAAAAATTTGGCAAATGCCTATAACGTGTCACGTATTTTACACATATTGTCTGCTCAGATAAGGAAAGAGGATTAATTCTTGAAAGACACTTAAACAGTGTCACTGAGTCAGTCGCAAGGTTTGCCTGGTCTCTAGTCTTCTTATACAGCTTGAAATTCAACTTTAGGAATTTTCATTGGTTAGTATTTCATAAAAATATATGTCCATTTAAAAAGGAAAGAAAACATGTTTGGGAATCGTCTACCTAATTGAAAAAATAAAACGAAAACATTACTGGGAAAAACTCTTTCATCTTGGTCAGCTTGGCAGTAACCTGGTTTCCGTTTTTCTTAATTTCTTTCTAGAAGCCTGAAGGCACGAAGGAAGAATTAGTCTTTTAAAATGCTTTTCTTCATAAACCATCATGCTGACAAATTAAATGACAGTAACTTCGCTCAACAGCTGACAGCCTAGCAGGGGCCCTGTTAACATGTGCATTAGGGCGGACTGATTAGTTTAATTGGCAGCCATGCCTAAAAACCTGCAGAGGAATTGATGCTGAATGATCATTTCTGTGAGCAATATTCAGCAGTTTGAATGCAGTAATGCAACCAAAAGCTCTCAAAGTTGTTCTATTTATTGTTGAAACTAACAGACCAAGTGATTACTTTGATTTTGTTTTCTAAAATTGTATGCTTTTACTGAAAGCCATCTTTTAAAAATGTTTCAAAGAAAATATTTCTTACCAAATTTTCCCATATCTCAAACTGAGAGGTACCAGTGGCAGATCCTGTAGTGAGGAATAAATCTAGGAGGAAAAGAAAAGAATATTAAATTTTGCAGTCATTCGGATGTGTCTATTTGAAAACAGCAACAAATACAACACATAAAATAATTATTGAGATAATTCTACTTCCACATTTTCAATTATATTTTAACTGGCTTGATCCATCAAAGAAAAGAAAGCCGACAACCCTGTATTGATATAATTAAGGAAACTGTACATAAAAAGGCACTTTCTTATCAGTTCTTTCAACATTCCTTATTTTAAAGAACAATGATATGTTTTACATTTTAATCTTTGACACTTTCAACTTGGGACTACATTTTAAAAAAATATATTTTGGTCATCATTACATTTTGCTTTTTTACTTTAAAAGCAAAACTTGGCTATATATGATAATGAGGTTTCAGAATGATTTTAAGTTTTAACATTAGAGAGTCCAAAATCTTTAGCATTTGTATTAAATGAGCTCAAAATTTAAACAACTGAAGAACTGTCTTCATGATAAATTTCAATGAAAAAGTTTTACTGGAAACCCCCAAGAACTTTATAAAATTTCTTTGTAAAACAAAAGGAGACAGTTAAATCAAACATCCTATTAATGCAAAGGCCTGCTGAACTGCAAATCCCTTTAGTGGTGGCATTCATGATAATGTTTGCAAAATGACAATTTAATTCGATAAGTAAAGTATTTAATATGTAAAGTCTTAAAATTATAGGTTTTCTCAAAGGAACATAAAAATGACATTAATCTTTTATGCTTTTAAATTAGAATTTATTCTGCTTGGTGTGACGACTGTGACTAGTCTAAAGAAAAGGTTTCCACTCACGACCATCAAATATGTTTAGATATGAAATATATTTTAAAGCCTTCTAAAAAGGTTTCATATGAATTTAATGAAGTCAAACTTATGGAGTAGTTATAATAATAAAAAAGATTTTTTTCCACAGACTCTCCAGAAAGGTAAGTAATTTGTTTAAATTTAAAAGTAATTGAACTCAAAACCTACGGCTTGCAGTAGGTGGGGTCATTCTTCCATTAACATAGCAAAAATTTTTTCCACTGCAGTGAAGATTTCTTGCTTATGGACAGAGAATTACAGTCTTTTTATACGAAAATGATTTTTTTACTCAGTTGAATGTGGGATCCCAATTAGGTACTGGTTTCTATATTCATCTATGAAAAACTTTCAAACAATATTTGAGATTCATATGATGGTGCACTTATTGCTAATGTGGATGGCTAAATACATACACTTCCTGGGATGGTGAACTTACTCCTTTCCTTTTCTATACAACCTCCATATGGCTCTGCACATGACTGGGGGCAGGGTGGGCGGGGCTAAGTATCTAAATTTGATCTCATTCTTTCTCTTCCAGGATTTTGGGCAAAACCTACTCTGTCATGTGAAGTTTTCATTACCTTCCAGGCTCAGTTCCTACCACTCAATTCCTACTAGCAGCCTGTGCTCCAGAAAAAAAAAGTCACCTGGTTTTATCATCGTCGTTTACATCTGTTTGCCTCTGCACAGGCCACTCATTCTCTTTACGATACCCTCATACCTCAAAGCCATCTGGTGAGCAATTCTTCCTGATAAACTTAAATGTCCCTTAAGCATAGCTTTCCCCCCAATGTCATTCTGTTATGATAGCTCTATTATAGTGGTTATTATAATATCCCACGATATTCTGATTTCAAACTTATAATTCCTGAAATTCTTGAGAGCAATTATTTTCATATATGTATACTGTGATTCCTACATACTGAGAAACTGCTGTTTGGTTAGGTGCGATTGAGTCAAAGTACAACTCAAAGTGACCCTATGAAGATAACATCTGAACCTTGTTCTATCCTATGCCATCCTCACTTATCCTATGCCATCCTCACTCTTCCTGGCACATAAGAGCCACATCCAAATGCTGCATGTATACTGGGGTTACTGCAACTTTGCTTGGACTGTCTCAGGAGCACTCTGGTAGTACTTCTTTTAAGACAGATCTCTTTGTTCTTTTGACAGTCCATAGAGTCTACAGTGCTTTTTCCCCATACCACAATTCAAAGACATCAATATTTTTTCTGTCATCCTTATATATTTTGCAACTTTCAGATGCTCAAGCAGCAAATGAAAATACTGTGATCAAGCTCATCTAATTCAAACTGAAGTCCCTGCTCTCTAGCTCTTTGAGGGGCCCGTGACAGCAGATTTTCCAAATGCAACAAACTCTTTGATTTCCTGATTGCTGCTACCAAGGGTGTTGATTGTGCATCCAAGTAAAATGAAGTTGTTGACAAATCTTTTTTCCATCTGTCATGACGTTCCCTTTGGCTTCAGTTGTGAGGATTCCCTCCCACCCCCATGTTGAGATGTAAGCCTTACTGAAGGTGATAGTCTCTGATTTTCTGCAGTATGTGCTTCATGTCTCCCACATTTTCAACAAGCAAGATTGTGTCATCTGTATAAGATAGGTTGTTAATGAGTCTTCTTGCAATGCTGATGCCACATTCTTCTTCTTATGGCTCAGCTTCTCAAATGATTCGTTCAGTATCAATACTGAACAGATCTAGAGAAAGGACACATACCTTTCCTGATTTTAAACTACGCAGTGCTCTCTTGTTCTGTTCAGATAACAGCGTCTTGATCTATTTATAGGTTTCACATGAAAATAATTAAGTGTTCTGGGATTGCCATTCTTCTTAATGTTAGTAATAATTTATTATGATTTACACAGTTGAATGTCTTTGCATAACCAAGAAAACAAAAATAAACATCCTTCTGGTATTTTCTGCTTTCAGCCAAGACCCATTACTTATCTGTCAGTCTGTCATACTGTAGTGCATTGCATGTTGCTGTGATGCTGGAAGCTTTACTACCAGGATTTCAAATACCTGGGGGGTCAGCCACGGTGGACAGGTTTCAGAGGAGTTTCTAAACAAAGACTAACAAACAAGACAGGTCATCCACTTCTGAAATAATAGAGCTTCAAAAACTCTAGGGACACCAAGGGGAGCTCTGGTGGCCTAGTGGTAAGGAGCTGCAACTACAATCCCAGAGGCGCACGGTTCGAATCCACCAGATGCTCTGCCGAAGGAGGGACAATCTCCTCCTGTACCAGTCAGATCTGATTTGATGGTACACACACAAAAATAATAAAATAAAAAAAATTAAAAAAAAAAAACACAAACAAAACAAAACTCTAGGGAAACCAGAAGAACACTTTTGGAAGTAGCGCTGGAAAAGGAGTCCCTTGATTTGGAAGAGACTCAAAATGCAATAAGGGAAGAGACTGTCACCTCAAGTCGGGTCAACTGCATGAAGTTTTACCCAATGAAGAACCTTCATTTGCTGCTGTGATAAGACTCAAAATGGGTTGAAGCAGTTGTAAAGCATTCAGTAATAACTGGAACATGGACTGTACAAAGTCTGAATTTAGGAAGATTGGAAGTGGACAAAAAGGAATAGAATGCATAATGATTAACATCTTAGGCATTAGTGAGCTGAGGTGACCCATTCTGAATCATAAAACTACATGATCTACCATGCCAGAAATGACAAGCTGAAGAATGATGTGGTATTCATTGTCAAAAAGAGCATTTCAAGATCTATTCTGAAGTAGAGTGTTATGAGTGATAGAATGTTATTACGCTGTATTCAAGGATATTCTGTTAATACCACTTTTCCTTGAGATAGCTTAAAACCTCTTTTTCTCTTGATGTTTTATTACTTTCCACACATTTGCATAAAAGGCAATAAATGCCCAGTTAAGAAATTTAAAAATATTTTTGCATTAGGCAAATCTGAATATATATTAGGCCTTAGTATAATGGATTAGAGGTAATGTTAGAAGATAGGATCATGTTTGGAGTCTAGCAAGACTAGCAGTAAAATTTAGGGCTCTGAATCTTTGTTAGGTCTTCTGCGACAGAAATATTTGCTTATGGGGAAAAAAAAATCTTGGAGAGCTACTTTATATTGTTAAAAACTGAATGCTCAAATGACTAGAATTTCCCATCATGAGCTGGGTATTGTCAGAGGCATCATATCTTACATTTAGTGTAACAGCAATCCATTATTGTAGAAATAATGTACATTCAGCTGCAAGCAGGTTCAAGAGGCAGAAGTAAATTACATAAACAATCAGAAAAAAGAAAAAAAAAGATAATGAAGAACTTCAAGGAGATGGACTGAGACCGTGATTGCAACAGTGGAGAAGGACATGGCAAAGACGGTGAGAATGTCATGTAATAAGGCAAAATTTCTATCTGAGAAATCAGATATTCAAAGGATCATGATGAGTCATATTTGATTTGAATGCCTCTAACAATAATATTCTGGAGAGAGGATGAAAGGCACCCAAGCGTCAAGGACTCTCCTTCATAGGGTCGCTATGAGTCACCTGTGACTTGACGGCACTTAACAACAACAATAATATTGTTACATGTATATGGAGAAAACTCAAGAACTGTAATTCATTGTTGATTTCTATTCTTAAGGCTTTATTAGCTATTTATCAAAAAGAATTTGGAAAGTAGTGCAGCTAGATGAGGGATTTAAAGTACCTTCTAAAATGGATTTTTAAAAAGCCTTATGTTTACCATTCAATTACGTAAGGAGCTTATAGAAAAAAAAATTATGTTATATGCAACAATAAAAATAGGCAATTAATACTAACAATTCAATTAGAATCATACCTCAGACTCTGAGTAAAATAAGAACGAATAAAGTAACTGCTAGAAAGAAATTTTAATGATTAAAGAATACAATTCTCACTCTCCCACACAGCTCAGAGCAATTCACACGGTAACATGAAAGCAAATGAACTCAATGAAATGGTAATGGATGATGAGGTTTTCAATGAGAGTCTTGTCTTCTTTCTCTCAGTAGCTAGAAATTGTTAGAAACTGTTGGATATTCCTCAGTGCTCAACCCCCTTAGGAACATGTTTGTCAAAAATAGCTTCTTTCTGGAGACATGATATCCAATAACTGGACAATTCAGAGTCTTAAAGACTGAAAGTTCCCCATG